AATATGCTAATGTTTCATGTTGATGTCAACATGAAACGGCTTGGGATTCGTTTTAAAAACAACTCGTTTCAGTGATTCAGAGTTGACTCTTTCTTTTGAGAGACAATAACTTTATACACGGTGCACTTTCAGATTTAAAACTTTGCAGGATGTTTTCATTCACTTAGAGCTGTGTTACACACTGCATGAAAGGTCATTTTAAAAAATCCATAATAGGGGCACTTTAAGGTGAACATGAAATAGCATTCACAGCGCATTTAATTTCCATAATGAGACACATTTCTCAGTGGAATTAGAAATTCAGTAAGAAAAATGTATACTTTGGCTGTTGATTAAAATTATGCAATAGCCTGCAGGGCTTTGGTGACATAATATGAAAAGTTATTTTATTATGATGAAATTATGAAGATTTTTGCCAGTTCTATTTTAATAATATTATTTATATACTATTCTGGTATTCATTAATATTTTAAATAATTTTTTATTTTCATTTTTAATGAAACATTTTCTAGTTTTAGTCATTTTTGTGTATTTTTTATATTTAAATATATTCAGTTTTGGTTTTATAATAATAGTATCTAGCACTTTGTTAATTATTGCAGTTAATGGCCAAGGCAACATTTTAATTTTGTTTGAAAGTTTTTCATCTAATATTTATATTTTATTTTATTTCAGCTTTGTTTCAATGAATGCAAACAAGTTTAATACTTTACTATTTTAGTTTTAGTTACAATAACAACACAGGGCATTATAAAAGTAAGTAGGGTCATATTGCGTTTCATGTTGACTTTAATGTCAAAATGCATGCAGAAAATGATCAGTGCATGTGATCAAATGTATAAGACAGCTGCATTCATGCTTTAATCTGCATTCCTTTCATACTCATATTAACATGGCTTGTCCCCAGTCTCATGGTCTGTCCTGTTCATGTGCTGCCATGTTGCTTTATTAATCATCTGCTAACACAGGAGTGTGTGCGATGCTGCTCTGTGCTAACATGCCTGTGCTTTCACAGTCTCTGCTAGAGGAATTAGCCTCTAAGGAGTCTCAGCTGCACAGGTTGAGGGAGAAGGCCCAGCAGCTGTGGGACGGACACACGGCCGGAAAGGGCTTTGTGCACCGTGTCTCGCAGCTCTCAGCTCAGTACCTAGCTTTAAGCAACCTGACCAAGGTAACGTCCCGCCTGTCTGCCTGCTGGGTACCTGTCCCTAATGCTGCAGGGGTCGACAAACTGTATGTGTACATAGGGCTGTGTCCGAAACCTTAGGCAGCAAATGAAGGTGGAATGGCATCAAAATATGTCCTAATCTAGTGTTTATGTAATGTCCTGAGTGACACCAAATGGTGTTTTATTTTTTCATTTATTTTTGTTTTTTATGTAATATTTTTAAAAATAAATAATATTTTTTTGTAATGTCCTGTCACCAAATGGTGTCTGTTGGAACGGTAAATCAATTTCTAAATTTAGATTTATTTATTTATTTGTTTGTTTATTTGTATTTTTGAATCTTTTATTTCTTTATTTTTATTTTTTATTTAATTTTAATTGTATTTATTTTTCCATTTATTTATTCATTTAAAATGTTTTGTTAATTTTTGTTTTAGAATTTTTAATTTTTTTTGTAATGTCCTGTCACCAAATGGTGTCTGATTGGAACAGTTAATTTAGAACTCATTTAGAAATGTTAATTATTTATTTATTTAGTTAGTTAGTTTGATTGTTTAATTTGAAAGCATTTTATATTATATTTAAATAATTGTATTTTTATTTGTTTAATTTCATTTTTATTAGTTTATTTTTAATTTGATTTAGGTTGATTTCTGATATAATTTCTACTAAGAAAGAAGCATTATGGTCATTAAGTATTTTCTTTGATATGCGAAATACAAATATGAATTTCTTCTACATCATTAGACATGACATTGTGACATCTGAAACCATTTTTCTTAAGATGTGCTTTCATATAAACACTGTTTGTTAAGTCATTGACCAACTGGTCAATCCCTTTGCTTTCGGACACAGTCAGTTTTGGGTGGAGAACACTTTTAACATGGAAACTTTATATGGCGTAATTAAACTTATTTTTTTAATGTTACACTCATTGTATTTAAGTTTCACTTCTCATTTTTTTATTTGTTGCACAGAAATGATGTATTTAGATCAGTGTAAGTTGGCATTTTTACGGCCTAGTATCTACTAATAAACACAGAAAAAAATCATATGGATTAGACCCTCAGAATTAATAAATGTACTGTACAACATGACTTGTAAAGCTCTCAGCTGCTTTCCTTTTAACACATTTACTGTTTCTATTAAGATGCTTCCCTTACCGAATGATTAATTACTAAACTGTATGTTATGATTATGTACTGAATCCACAGTTACTCTCTCGAGTCACTTTATCTCAGGGATGTGATTATTCATCTGATTATGTTGTGCTTGTCCAATAGGAAAAAGCCTCTAGAATCGAGCGCATCGTGTCCGAGCACCAGCTGTTCTCGCAGGGCCTGAAAGAGCTGCAGAACTGGGTGGCTGATACCAGTCACATGCTGCAAACCTACTGCACTCCCACCGCAGACAAGAACGTGCTGGACAGCAGGATGATCAAACTCGAGGTGAGAGTATATGTCACCATAAATAACCTGATTTATTTCCAAAACGATAATTGGATGCCGCATGAATCGAACATAAAATGTAGTGAGGTCATGCAACATCAGTGTACTGTAGTATGCTACTGTACATACTACACTATTGAAATGTTTATTGTTGAATGTTGCATACTGTTTCCCATACTACTTTTAGTATTCAGTAGTACACTAGTACTCCATTCTGAACATTTCAGCTGAAGTATTCGACTTTGCATTTAATTTCATGGCTCTTAGTATGTAGTGTACTTGTAATGAGGGTTTTCACATGAATGCATCTGTGTTTTCCAGGCTTTGTTGACGGCACGCCAAGAGAAGGAGATACAGCTGAAAATGCTGCTGACGAGAGGAGAGTCAGCCCAGAGAAACACCTCCGCTGAGGGTGTACTGCTGGTCCGACAACAAATCGAAGACCTCAAGGACTCATGGGATGGACTGTTGTCGGCTTCTATTCAATGCAAGAGGTCAGTATGGTCTTATTAATATCAGTGCAGCGACCTAATGTGAGATACATCTGGCCTTTACAAGTTGTTTGACCTGAACTGTACACAACCACCCTATAATGATAAAAATCCACCCAGTGCTTTTTTTTTAATGTACTAAAATCTTTACCCCTTTCTCAAATCGAGCCGATCTCAGATGGCTGTCTGTGTGATGTCACACAGACAGGCCCCTCCCACGATAGTTTGATTGACAGTAGCGTTTCAGCACAGACTGGACTGGCGTCTTACCTTAGACCTGCTCTGAGTGAGCTGTCATCAGTCCGCCATTGTTTCACCTCCGGAGCAGATGTAGACAAGAATGACTCCTAAGCGATTGAGGTGTTCTGTTGTTGGATGTAATAATGAACATACCAGTCGTCATTTACTCCCGACATCTGAGCCGCTGAAGACACAGTGGATTACGTTTGTTTCTGAAGGGAATG